GGTTTTTAGTCAGTGGTTGTCAATTTTTGGGTAACATTGCTTGCTGACCTTAAGCTATCTGACTTGGGAGATTAAAAAAAAGGATCTGAGAAAGTGGAGTAACATGTGTAAAGGCCTTTGACCTCAATTTTCTTGATCTTCTCCCAGCTTCATCACTCTGTCCTTAAGCCTGCTCTCCTGCCAGCCCACCAAGCAGGAGAAACCATCTGTTACTCTGACATATCATTGTAGCTTCTCCCGTTCTCAATAAGAGCAACAAATAGGAGCGTATAATAGAAAACACAGTCTTCCATATTCCATAAAAAGTCCTTTTGTAGCGGACTCAGACTGTAATCTTATGTATTCCTATACTGGCAGATAAGATAGAAAGCCCCCCTGAACTCAATGGGACTTATTGCTGACAAGGCATATACAGGATCGAATCCTCTTAGAAAGTGGCAACTAGTCTCAGTGATCAAGAAAGGGGTGGGCAAACAGCAGCCCTCCAGTGGGTACTGGACTACAACTCCCAACAGCTCTTTCCACTATAGCCAATGATGAGGAACGATGTGATTTTCAATCCAACAATATCTGGAATATAGCATTTTGCCCATCCCTGGTTTACAGTGTATTGAAGCCACACAATAACGTCAATTCAATATCACTTTAACTCTCATGCCAACTGGATCCATCGTAATTCTAGGATTTGTAGTTTAGTGACATACTTAGAATTTTTTGTGGCAGTTTTCTGGAGTGCTCTCTATCAAAGAATCCTAAGTAGCCTACCGAACCACAGATCCCAGAATTCCTTCCCATACATAGGGGTTTGGATTATTATCATTATTATTTTACTACAAATGCCATAATTCTCTAATCTGTGAGTTGTACTTGAAAAGCAAACACCTTAAAGGCATTTAAAACGTGACTCATCTGAGTGAAGGACCTAAACGGGGAAGTGTTGAGACCTAGCTAGGCTCAAGCTTCTTGCTCCTGCCCCAGCGGCAGATGGGAGCTTTCTTTCTGAACAAAACTCGCTGGGTGGAGCTAGACTTTCTCCCAGGTGAGCCACATTTAGGTGTCTATCCAACACAAAGTGGAGTATTATGGGATTTGTAGTCCCCAAACCAGAAATAACCCCCCCAAACCAAACATCTCACCCTAACACCCAGAGATAGGGGTATAACTGGATGTTTGTGCCCATGGGCTCTTGCAGAAACTCAGTCCTTCCATCACCGATGAAGGTGTGCAGAAAGGTTATGTTCCTATACCTCCTCTGCCCTTTGCTTCTTTTGGGGCCTTCTCTCTTTCCACAGAGCACCAGTGCAATGTTTCCCTTAAAGTTCAGAAATGAATTCTCTGAATGAAGATATGAAAGTAGTATTGTGCAAGGAAAACAATACTTATCCATTGAGAGGAGTAAACTATTCTAGGCCTGTTTTTGTCAAGCAAAACTGAAGAGAGAGAGAGAGAGAGAAAGAGAAAGATATGTATGTGTGTGAATGAACAAGATATACAGTAGGTTGCCTGGGGAATAATGTGTGAAACAGAAAGAAAAAGGAATAGCTATGCATAATTTGCGAAAATGCACACGTGTGAGATCAAACGGTGGTGTGTTATCCATGAAAATGCAAGTGTGTATGTGTGAGAAAGAGAACGCTGGAGAGCAAGACAGAGAAAAATGTGAATAGCTCTGTATCATGTATGAAAGTGTGTGTGTGCTTTAAAAATGGCTATGTTTTATGTAGTCAAATGTTTTCTGTTTCTTTTCCTCCCTGAAATACAAAATAAGTCCGCAATATTGTTTTATATTGGGAGAGGCACGAGACATCTACCCTGATGAAGCTAAGCGGGTCTTGGTCAGGTCTGTGTTCGAAGAGGAGACGGCTGGTGCATCCTATCGTTCAAGAAACTTGGATAGTCAGCTGCCAAAAGACAACTAGGAGAGAGTTGTCTTTAGGCAACTGAAGGGAGCATGGCCTGGCAATTGCGGTGTTGTTGCTGACTGTGGGAAGAAGGGAACAGAAGAATGTTGTGTGGATTAGCTAGATGGGAAGGGGACTGAGGAGAGAACTTGATCCCGTCCCAGACTTCAGTGGTCAATGTTAATTGCTCCTGGAATGCACACTTGGGGTGGGATCCAGATTTAAACATGTGCCACTGCACTGGAGATTTCTCTCTCCACCCCTTCATGACAAGCCTCTTCAACCCCAGAAAATGCTACTCAGAAGGTTTAGGCACATCACTGAAAAGGTGCAGAGTGATCCTCCAAAGTCAGATGCACTGAGAACAGAACATTTCTATCAGTGGAAGACAGATTCTGGACCCTCTAACTGCCATTAAACCCAGATAAATATATGTCAAATGCACAATCAAAGGTTTTGCACATCCACCCCACCCCAACCCCCGTCCAGTCTCTACACTCCTACATTGCTCTTCAATCTGGGAAGCACGTTTTTAACTCCTCTGTTGGCAGTACCATTCCGCCAAACTGCAGAATTTCCGACCACCAAGAATTTGTGCTTAAGTTTTCTTGTTTTATTTTCTCTTCTCTTCCCCATCCCTCTTCCCTTTTGTGTCACATCTTTTCAGATCAGGGTTGGGCAAAGACTGACTAGGAAAGATGGGAGCCATAGCCTGACAACATCTGGAGGATGTTTTCGACTTTGTCCACTCCTGTTTTAGATTACAAGTCCCGAAGTAGGGACTGTCTGCCCTCCTGCCCTAAAATGAGTTGGAAGCCATTGTGAGAGCCTTTTTGAGTTGTGTAATGGGCTATGTATGTACATATCTAATTAAGCATTGTATGTACAGTGGTGCCTCGCATAGCGAGGTTAATCCGTTCCGGATTAACCCTTGCTATGTGAAAACATCGCTAAACAGAACATAAAAACCCATTGGAACGCATTAAACATCGTTTAATGCATTCCAATGGGCCCTAAACTTACCATTCAGCGAAGTTTCCTCCATAGCGGCAGCCATTTTTGTGCCCTCGGTAAGTGAGGGGAGGGCACGAAAATGCTGCGTGCGGCCATTTCGGGCATCCGGCAGCCATTTTAGAATCGCCGGACAGCTGATCCGCGGGCATCGCAAAGCGAAGATCGGTAAGCGAAACACTTACTGATCTTCGCTATGCGAGTTTTGCCCATTGGAACGATCGGTATGCCTCCGCATTAGCGATCCCGAAAAGGGGATCGCTATGTGGATTCGTCATTGTATGGTGCGCTCGTTGAGCGAGGCACCAATGTATAAGGAGGTATTAAATCAGTCATTGAATCAGCCAATGTAGTAAACGTGAAAAGGTTATATGCAAAGCATGCTTACCGAGGAGGAGAATCCGGATGTGTGATGTTGGCCTGAGAGAGTGTTTCAGTGTAAGAACTGAAGTAAAAGGCTGGTGGAAACTCCTCAGTACAGCTGGACCTAATTTCTCCAATGGAGCTGCCATAAGAGAAGCAATCGGGAGCTGGAAGAAAGATATTAAAAACAAATCTTTTTTATTTTTAAGTGGCATTTTAATTATGGACTTATAAAAAGAGCCTCTGAAATACGAAATGCAAAACCTATTTGTATTTGCTGGCCACATGATTCTGTTCAGAGAAGGATATAACGCATCAAAATTAAATTCAAGGCCTTTAAAATTTGGCGTACAAAATATAATATTTGAAACGTTAGCTTGGTCCTTCCTCCACAAGAGGGCACATCTTTTTCCATTTTGTTTGAAAAAAAGAAAAGAAAAGAAAAGGCTATACCGCCCTTTGAAAAGAAATTTTTACTAAGTAGTCAAACCTTCAGCCTATAAAGGTAGACTATTAACACAGAGAAAATTTAGTTAACAAAAAACAGTGGGATACTTTTCAGGACTCTCCCTGGTGAAAGTAAGACCACTGTGAACAGCAGGATTGAAAACCACTGTTCTCTAAAAACAACCCCCTTTTCAGTATACAGTCATATCATAGCAACCAATACTAGCAAAACTAGCAAAGCCCAGACCCCGGAAGCTTTTCTGCAAGATGAACCTCTGTGGTTTGCACGGTTCCTGCTTGAACGGCCTTTCTAGACTGGAGACGAGGGAGGAGCTCATTGGCTCGAAATCTGGATCACAATCGAGTTGGATTAGGTAACCCTCAATCCTTTCTGACTCCACGATTCTCTGTGATTCTGTTATTCTAAGTAAAATGGGTGCACTTTTGTTTTACTCGAAATCAACTGCTTGTGAAATGCCACCTCGTTCTGCCTTAAAGTGGTCTTATGCTCTACTTAGTTTAAAGGTGTTCCTCTACTTGAAAGGCTGTCAGAAGACAGTCTTTTGATTGAAAGTCTGTCTAGTTAAAGTTTGGTTTAAGAATATGAAGCTGGTCATGGTTCACAAATCATCATAGGTCAGCAGAACAATGGCCTTGGAGTTGTTTATCAACAGTTACTGCAGGGAGGACAGACTAAGCAGGTATACAGGTCATCCAGTCGTAGTGAGATGCATTAACAGAAGAACAGTCTCCAAATCCTGTGAGGTGCTAGTTCCCTTCTATTTAGCACTGGATACACTGTACTTCAAGAAGAATGCTAACAAATTGGAACAAGTTCAGAGGAGGGCGACAAGGATTATCAGGGAGCTGGAAACCAAGCCTTACGAGGAAAGACTGAAGGAACTGGGCAGGTTTAGCCTTGAGAAAAGAGGACTGAGGGGAGATAGGATAGCCCTTTTTACTTGAGAGGCTGTCATACAGAGGAGGGACAGGATCTCTTCTCAATCATCCCACACAACAATGCTCTCAAGTTACATGGAAGATAGACTTCAGTTGAATACCGGGAAAAACTTTCTAACTGTTAGAGCAGTACAACAGTGGAACCAATTTAACTTGAGAGGTGGTGAGTGCCCCAATGCTGGAGGCATTCAAGAGAAATTTAGAAAACCACCTGGCAGATATCCTTTAATTTGTATTCCTGCACTGAGCATGGAGTCAATGGCCTCATAGTTTATAGATTCTATGTGTTGCGCTTTCATTTAAATTGTAGCTATTTTTTCTAAGAACATTGTGTTTTATCATATGCCTATTGAACAATATACACAATCATATGCATACTTTATGCTTTTTTTGCTCACAGTTTTTGCTGATGCCCTTCCTCTTTCTTCAGTGGGCACCTAACACTACCGTATTTTTCCGCGTATAAGACGCTCCTATGTATAAGACCCCTTCCCCACTTTTCTAACCCAAAAGTAAGAAATCTAAGTGGGACTTAGCAAGTGTAGGGGGAAAGGGATCAAAGCCCTGCAGGATCACTTTGATCCCTGCTTTCCCTTCCACTTGTTTTTGTTCTTTTCTTAGCCTTCTTCCATGTATAAGACAACCCTCAATTTTTATTCTTAAGATTTTAGACAAAAGTATAGGAAAACTATGGTAACTAATGGTCAATACTTTAAGTTAATGTATAAAAAGTTTTGGCATCTGGTTTGTGTCTCTCCGCCAATGTGTAGACCATGGAAACAACAAAAACGAAATGCTGGAAATGTTTGGACAGCACTACAAATTCCAATGTTTTAGAAGATGACCCTTAAAAAAACAAAGACCCTGAATCCATCTTACTGTAACTGGCATCTCTCTGAAATTGGAGATGTTGAAAACACCTCTTCTTTCGCAGGCTGCCAATAATGATGGCCACACAGGAGAGAAACAGCACGACTCCAATGACTACTCCGGCCACCAGCACGGAAGAATCCGGCATGCTAGTGTCACTGCTACCTTCAGTGTAGTGGATAAACTCACTGATTGGGGTCGTCTGGTTCAGGTGAATTTCTATGAGAAACAGAGAGAGAAAGAGAGGACATTATAGAACATATAGCATACAAATGCACTTCTGGGTCCTGCTAAAGATGGAATTTTCCAGATTCCGCTAGCCAGCAGGAGCCACAGAGCTTTCAGGCACCAAGCTGAAAGTCTACATTTGTAAAGCCGCCTGCAAGATTCTAATAGGTGAAGACCAAAAAGGCAAGTTTTTGCAAGGGTTGCTGTCAGACAAAACATTTGTGGGGTTGATGGACGTGTAACTAGCTTTAGGGCTTCACCACACAGCTTTATGGCACCAAGTTGAAAGTGGATTCTTGGGTCACTCTCTCCCTGCATCTTTATGGTTCAAGCTATGTGTTGCATTTAACTGGATGACATCCTTGCCAGATACTCCTTTTCTAGATGAAACAACAACTCAATAGCCTATCTGTAATCATTCTTGATTTGGGAGGCAAAATACATGCACTGCCAAATTCCTTCAAAGCTGCAAAGATAATCTGCCGATTAATTTTATCAAGTGCTTTTTCAGCATCAAGGGAAATAATGGCAGCAGAGGCTTTTAGCGTTCAATGCAATCAAATCTGTAACCAGATTTAATTGAACTGTTCCCTGCATATGCCAGATAGCAGCTTGACCGGGAGGAACTAGTGTTGCCTTAACCCTTGTAGTCCTTAGCCAATACTAGAGTAAGTATTTTATCTTCAGCATTAAGTAGGAAATGGGTCTATGCCCAGTGTGGCATAGTGGATAGAGTGACAGACTAGGACCCTGGAGACCAGCGTTCGAATTCTTGCTCAGCCATGGAAACTCACTGGGGGTGTGGAACTAGCAAAAACATTCTTTAATTATATCAGTCACCGTGAAAGCCTTACTATGGTTGCTATAAGTTGGTTCTGACTTGGCAGCACGTAACAACAATGAGTCTATATTTTACACAGCTAGTTTAGTCTTTACTTTGCTTGGGAATGACAAAAATAAAGATTTCGGAAATAGAAAGTGGGGGAAAGCTTGTCTCAAAACATTTTTGATTCAAAGAAAAAAGTCTAGGAGTCAAAATCTCTGAATATATTTTGTACCATTCAAAAGGAAAGCAGTCTGAGCCAGGGACGTTTCCATTTCTCATAGTTTCAATAATTATTTCAATCTTGTTTAGTCTTACAGGATCAGCCAAAAGTTCTTTATGTTGTGCATCCAGCAGTCCAAGAACACCTGGGTTGTCCAAGGTTGAGAACCACTGTTGTAGATCAAAAGCTGAATATGAGCCAACAATGCGATGAGCCTGCAAAAAAGGCAAATGCTATTTTAGGGTGCATTAACAGAAGTATAGTCTCCAAATTCTGTGAGGTATTAGTTCTTCTCTATTCAGCACTTGTTAGGCATCATCTACAGTACTGTGTCCAGTTCTGGACACTACACTTTAAGAAGGATGCCAACAAACTGGAGCAAGTTCAGAAGAGGGCAACAAGGATGATCAAGGGACTGGAAATCAAACCCTATGAGGAAAAACTCAAAGAAATGGGCATGTTTAGATTTGAGAAAAGAAGACTGAGGCTAGGTATGATAACAGTTTTCAAATACTTGAAAGCTATCTTCAGAAGTGGTGAGCGCTCCAACACTGGAGGCATTCAAGAGAAAATTGGATAACCATCTGTCAGATCTGCTTTGATCTGGATTCCTGAATTGAGTGGAGGGTTACACCTGATGGCCTCAATTATTCTATGATTCTATGTTTTACTCATATTCCACTCAATAGGATACAAGGCAGTAGAATGTTAATTATTTATATAATAGGCCTGGTATTCAAAAGTTATTTGTACATTGAGTTTGCCTTTGTTGAAAAGAGAAATATTCAAACACAAAGTAATAAAAGACTTATCATTGTGGGATGTTAATACAAGTTGAGGTAAGGTGGAAAAGACCAAAACACATGTAACCTAACTGAAAACAATTTTGGTATACAGGTAAATATAAAGCATAATCTCTCTTTATAGGGTAAAAAATATATCAGACATTTGCAAGGCTCAAATTATGCACATAACTCTTCATCACACATTGAACCTCTATATTCCAGCACCACTTAAGTCTGATAGATTTTCCTACTGGGAACAAATTTTGTGTAGATCAAATCAATGGTAATTTAGGAAAATCACAACAGATTTAGCATAGCGTGGCAAGGCTTGCTTTTGTAGCAATTCTCAGTTGTATTGCAAATCACAATTCTTTTTTCTTTCTGAGACATTTATTTATAGTTAATGGTCATTATGTGCTGACCATTGGATTTAAATAAACACCACTTAACAGAAGTACAAACCATTTTGAATGAGTACTGTACAGTTTCAGTGCTTGATAATTCTGCAACTCTTTCCTCCAAGACCAACCTCAAGGGTCAATTCTAGACTTTCTTAACTATTCTATAATCTATGTTCCCGCTTTGTCAACTAATGCTATCTTCCTCTCTCATTCATCACCCCTGACAGAGTTGCAGTATTACTAGGATGCACCAGGTGGCGCTAACCAAAAGAACTTCCCTGAGAGATGAAGACGCCAAGCAATAAAGCAGTGTTGATAGCAGAATAGTTGTATTATTTACAGGATATATACATACATGTACAGCTTAGTCCTTGTTTCCAGTCCCGAAGTCATACACAGCAGTTTCCACAGAGTTCAATGCATAAATCAGAGTCAAAATCCTTATAAATTAGTTCAGCAGTCAAATACCATATGTTCAGTCCAGTAGCCAGAGTTCTTCTTCTAATATACAGCACGAAGACACGGCTTCTTCCAGGATACTCCAGCACAGCAACACGACGATAGCAATCCACCATGACACCAACCCATACCACCACAGAATATATGTGCTAGGTCTGCTAGCTTTATCCCAGGGTTAGCCAATCCTGGGATTGCTCTCTCAGCTGTTACAATTTACTCAGCTGGATAAATTCTAGCTTTGCTTGTTTCTTTAGTAATGATCCTTACAAATACTTATTGCATAGTACAAAACTGTATTTAATAATTCCTCCAGGTTTCTCCTAAACCTGTCAACCCCAACAGTGAATTAATGCTGCTTGAGCATATCAATTCTTTTAAAATTTCTCTGGTTTATAAATGTGGGATATTGTTCTTCTGCACCCATGATTCAAAAAGCCAGGAAATGGCACAATAATATGGCTGTATTGCCAGCTGGAGAAAGGATGCCAAGCTTTACATAACAAAGGGCAGCCTGAATGTTGCCAACACCAATGGCAGCAGTCCAGATGGTCTACAGGACACCCTCTTCTGCTCACTACCATTCACAAAATGACATCACACAAGGAGAAATCCCAGAAGTTGACTCCTTTTTTTCATCAGTTAAGCACTTCTCACACAAACACAAAGGAATTGTCTGGGCTGTTTTTCAATGTGACTGGTAGTGAGCAGAAGAGGGTGTCCTGTAGACCATCTGGACTGCTGCCATTGGTGTTGGCAACATTCAGGCTGCCCTTTGCTAGGTAAAGCTTGACCTCCTTTTTCCATTTGCTCAAATGTCCCTAAATTTGCCACGAACAAATTGTCTGCTACATCTGTC